AATAAAAAATATATTGTACTGTTGAAATCAATCAAATTTCTTGTCACGACCTTGATGAGTTAAACTATAATTTCCTTTAATCGGATCAAAGATTTAATTGATAGAAATATGTGGAGTAACTTGATTATATAAAGCTTTCGTTTAAAAAATTACCATCGTAAAACTAAAAAAAAATGGTTTCTCACACTTCATTACTCGTTGTAATGGTTACTGTACAGAGTAATCACTTATGCTCTTACGGTGTTGCGAAATATAAACTTTTGAAAATTTTATTTCAGTCAATTAAGTTTAAGTATTTTTTCTCTACGGACCAGCCAGTTAATACGTTCGCTAATGGTGATATTGTGTTTATCTCCGGTAAATACATTATTGAAGGCTCTGAACCGCATTTTGCTATTGCATATGCGAGCATTGTCGATAATAAAAATTCCAACAGAGAATTTGACGCGACTGATCTTCCTGAATGTATTTCGCATTGTGTATACTCAGTGACTATTAATCGCGAACCAAAAAAAATCGAAGAATTTATTCATTTCGGTGCAGAAGCTGTAGAATATAATTCGGTTACTACTAAGCCTAACATCAAAATAGACATGACTATTGTTTATCCTCTTCAATCGCCAAAGTTTAAATATTTGGGTTATCTGGGATCAAATATTAAACTTCGAACCAACTACTTTGTATCAGGTTTAATTAGGTTTTCGAAGTCTGGCAAAATGATAATCGAAGCCACTGATATTGATTACTTGAAAACTTCGGCTATTAACTTAACTGAAAGCACCTCGCTAGTAACACCAAATACGCCATCAATTATTGATCTTATTGACGATGATCTCAATCCCGCTAATTCCCAAACATTCGAAGAACCTGCTAAACTCTTCAAGACACCTGATGTTAATATCGAGGATGGTACTTCATATGCGCCGGAAAATAATAACCCACCTGATTCTGTAAGTTCAGATGGCCAAGATCATGAGAATCAATTTGATGATGATAATAGCAAAATCATGGAATCATGCGATAACGAAGACCTGCATGAGCTGCAGCCTAAGAAAAGAAAGAAGAATACTACTAGAATTCAAAAAGAAAAGGGTAAGATAGTTAAAAAATAAGTCTATTAATTGTTAAATTTCGTTATATTCTGTAGCTCAGATTAGATCTCAGTATATTTACTGATATATCACGTGATAAATTTGTATGGAAATATAAATTCTCGATCGCATTCTTACTTTGATTCTTAAAATATAAATTACCATTTATTTGAGCTCCTATTATGTTTATAGTAAAACAAAATTGCTTAAGTGTCCTCGATCCTTAACATGGAAACTAATATACATCTATATTAAAGATGTTTCAGTTAAATAACATATTTATGCACCTCATGATATTAAATCATATCAAGTTTGATAATAATAACATACTGTTGATAACGCAGTAATATTGTAAAGAAATTGTTAATTTATATTACTTCATGAATATAAAATAATCTATTCATAATTAGAGACATTTTTGTAATAATAAAACCTGATTAATAGTGCAAATCAAAATATATATAAATACAGACTCTTAAATTCAATAAAGTAGAAAATCCTTCTGAGTATGCCCTATAAAATTAAAGAAAATAAACTAAGATAACAAATTTATTTTTTGATGTTCCAAAGTTACTATAACCTGTTACGCTTATATATTATAATAAACAATGCTTACAATATATGCACAATTTTGATTTTAACTTACGAATATTATTTTATATATTTATTTATTTTCTTTTTAAGCTTCAACGCTTCAATTGAATCAAGAACACTTAAATAATTTTTCACATATTAATTACTTTTACTAATCTTTGACTTTTTTAAGATAAAAATGATAAACATCGAAACTAGAAGTGAAGCTAAAAAAAGAAAAAATCGTGAACAAATGAAACAAAGACGAACCTCTAATCGTCTTGCCAAAAATCATCAGGCTAAAAATACCAAAGTGCCTTTGCGTGTCTTAGAAATGGATAACGATTTTGATAAGTTAATAAGAGAACATGCTGATTGGCCGCAAATTATCAATGAAAAATTATCAAAAAATGCTTTAACCGAATTTCGCGAAAAGATTAAATTAGATAGATAATTTACGTGAATTACCTTGCGCCATCTGTTCAAAAATATGCATCCTCAAAGAATTCAAAGAAGTTCCTGTAAAAGAAATAGATCTTTCTCTGATTAAAGCACAGGTATAACTTGTTGAGTCATCTTTCAAAATTAACTTTCAATATGGTCATCCACTCATCGATTCCAGTGGCTTAAAAATTCTCCTTGATCATGATGGATTCGTATATCATCGAAAAGAATTTCAAAATTGCGCTAACCTTAAATCCCATGAGCTTTTCAATTGACGAATTTGTATGTCTTGTTACAATTTTTTACTGAAAGGTAAAATGCCACCACTATCCTTAGCTAATAATATGTGGATCGGGTCTACGCCATCTTGTCTTGAGAATTTAACAATTCCAGAACAACTTTTGATCTCACCAGGATATCCCTGTATAAATCTAATACAATTATCAAAAAGAAAACATAATCACTATAAACTTAGAGGGCATGTTATAACATTATCTCAGAATCCAAGATCATTAACAAAAGTATTACCTTTGCCTTTATTCAAGTTATGTGAATATCTCAGAATTGTG